AGCCCTCCCAACACTTTGAAAAAAATATATTTATATAAACAAAACAAAAAACTTCAACCGTCCAAACCCCTCAACCTTTACCTAAATAGAACCAAAGACAAAACGTTTAAAGCACCCGAAGGTGCAATAAACGCCCAAGTGCGAAACTTGTCCGATCGAAGATGCCCCCGGGCCGGGGTGACCGGGGGGGGGGGGGGGGGGGGGGCATGTTACAATCCAGCCCGAGTGCGCCAAGTCGACAAGGCGCTTGCTGGATTGATGGTAAATAAATGTTGATTTGTTATCATAAGGTAAGATAGGTGGGTGGGTTGGATTGGGCTTAGCGTGATGCTGAGACGATGGCTACGTATGTGGTATGAAAGTGAAGCGGTTAAGAATGTCCTTGGTTAGAAATTGGCAATTCAAGCCCTCGAGCCCTCAAGGTAATAATCGAAGAGAGATTATGCCGCAATTTGGATTACTGTTAGCTATGTCTACGGCAAAATTTTCAATCTCACACTGGACAGCCCTTTTATGTTCAAACAAGCAAAGAGTTCGCACTTCATTTCATTTCATTCACAGGCAAACGCAAAAGCATATTCAATACTAAAGTTCCATCAACGCCAGATTCCAACGAAACCTCAATTCCCTCTACCCCTCTCCCAAAACGCCTCTTCAATCTTCCTTTCCTTCCTTTCCCCGTTCCTTCAAAACACCTTGTTTCCATCGAAGCATAAGACCATGTTTCGTAATCATATAAGCCCAAGACTCAAACATGCGCTCTTGAATATATCCCAGCTTTGTGGCATCAAACCGAATCGGAGCAGATTACGCTCCGAGAAATCCTTCAGATGCTTTCCATGGTCGTTCATCGCTTATTCGATCATGGCCTAATGATGGAAAGAATCTTGCAGAAAGCTGAATAAACGTCCAGCAAATGAGAATACCGCTCAGACGTACATGAAGATACATAAGCTGCATGAAGAACCGCATGCAGCACTGCCATCTCTTCAAAGTCTCTGCTGCTTCGCAAGAATGCTTCCCTTGAGCAAAGCCGTAATCACCAAGCCCATCTTATCAGCATCGAAGTTTTCCTCCTGCGGCAATCCAGGCTGATCCTCGGTTTCCTTCACAGCAGGAATACCCACCAAGCGATGTGTCTCATCGTCCACATCCTGTCTCTTGACGATTGGCTTGACGATGCCGAATTTATCCAAAACATCTTGGCCAGACGATCCCACAGCGGCAAGAGCATCGTAGGCTACAACTTTCGTGAAGTATGGGATCATGTCTTCGCCCATCGGGTACGGCTCATCCGGCTCGTGACCAGCAGCGAACCAGGTGGATTTCGTGCCGACGTACCAGTCTTGTGTCATATAGGGAGCGTAGGGATGGTCACTGCAAGCACGTTCGTAAAAGTTAAGATCTTGCGTGACTTGAACTTTTCGAAGGTAGGGGCCCAGCGGATGGCGAGTTTGGTCGAGATATTCGAATAGAGTGTTGTAAATTGGCACAGCTTGAGCGGCGACTTTCGTCCATGCACATGAAGGAATGTTGTTGTCTTGCATGAATTCATGGAACACCGTGGCGCCTTCTTCGTCGAATTTGTTGTTTTGCGCCGCGAAATCTGCTGTAAGTCTGCCTTTGATGATTCGGTAGCCTCCTTGAAGAACGACATTTGAGAGTCCCTTCTTGAGTAGCTCGCCGTGATCTTCAGCAAATTTTGCCAAGTCCATCAAACTGGAAATTGTGAGAATCGTGATTCCGTACTTCTTCTCTACTGCATCTGTGAAGATTTCTTTCATCAGCTCTTGTCCATCAGGCAGATCCTTGAGCCTATCTGGTGTAGCCATAAAGTCTTCAGTATTATCGAACTCGTGAGAATGTTGGTCAAGGGCTCGTTTCGAATCTCCGATAGTGCCAACAGCGATTTTGATATCTGGATAGCCCAAAGAATCAAGCGCTCCGCGGCCAAACAATGCTCGTCTATCTGGAGGCATGAGATTTGCAACAAAACCTTCAATGTGAACGACACCCAAACGATGTAGCTCTTTGAGACACATCATAGCCAAGAGATCATCATAATCCTTCGCAAGATCCGTGACTACAACAATGCGTGGTATTCGTTGCTTGCCATCTCCAGCATGTTTCTTTCGCTCTTCTACAATTTCGAGTAAAGCTTCATACACTTCACCTTCCTCGCGGGTAAGGTCATAAGGGATTAATTGGTTAGTGGGCGTGTATGGTGACAGAAACGACTCGTCAAAATGCGCTGGTTGGTAAGTGCCTTCGAAGACTGAGAGTACTTTCTCGATGTGCTCAAGAAGCTCACTTCTGAAGTACCGCTTTGTTGGATCTGCGGATACGCAAGCCAAGACATACTTCATCAAGTTCTTGCTGTAATGTTTCTGTAGTACCTTTTGTTTGTACTCTCCGAATTTCTCGCCATTATCAACAGGACTGAGAGCGTTATATTCTTCGCTCCAGAAACGACCTCGAGTGATAGTTTGGAAGACACACTTTCCGATTTGCCAAATAGTGTTGGGAGACTCGACAAGGTATTCTGGTGCATCATCCCAGCTTTCACTCTGATTTGTATTAGCTTTGTTGATGCATAGAAGCGCTCCATCATTTACCTTTGGAATGAGTTCTGAGGCTAAGCACCGGAATAGCCTCCAAATGACCTCTTCTGGAATGAAGTTGCCAACAGCATAATGACTGCACTCAATGTCAGCAAGACCGCTATGTTGTAACTTGGGCGTGGGCGCGTACGTGTATAATGTGTTCAAGAACTCAAGTTTGCGGCCTTCTAGCCACAGCCGATAAGTATCAGAGAATTCAATATCTTCCCCGTAGGCTGGGAACTTGATTGAAGATCCAAATGCATCGCGAGCTCTCCTTGTCAAGCCCGTTTGCTTCCAGCTCTTCTGGTCTCTATTCCGATAATAGCGCCAGCTCCCCTTGATTTCAACTTGACCAGGATCAAGACTTTTCCTGGCAAGCCAGAAAGCTCGATCACGAAGATCCTTGGAATCGCGCTGCCTTCGAATCTCCAGTGCGGATAGGTACCAGTTATCCATCAAATTATCCGGGTCGGTAGTGATGGAGTCGCTTGCACCCTCAACACTTCTTTGATGTCTCCTAGGTCGAAGCACTTTATCAAGGTCGATGCTATCTCCCAATTCAGATCGGGCGAAGGAGCGTTTCGACATATTTGTAGTGACGAGGGGTGGAGGCTGAGGGGTGGCAAGGCTGTAGGCAAACTCCGAATTTATGCCCGGTGAGTCCGTGGGTATGAATCACAAGAGCTATCTCAGGATGAAAGTGCCGGTGAATAATGCGCTCGTGAAGTCTTCTATCGAGGTATTTAAACACCTTAACTTCAACTTCATCCTTGGGAAGTAGATTGAAGAGTCAGGCGGACCAGGCTGCTGAGATAGAGAGGAACAAAGACTCAGGCTGTAAGGCTGTTTAGGGCTTAAATTTTCAGTGCGATATAGCATCTCCTTGAGACAATTCGGCAGTGACAAAGAATGGCAGTCGAGATTCAAAACCACTGAGCCATATAATTGTATGAGTGAGCAGGCATATTCTGTCGATGAATGAAACGATGTCTGAAGGTTGATGATTGTCGGAAGGCTGGCAGCTGATGAGGTTGTCGATATGCGAACCGCGGGCGACTTGCTGCCTCACAGATTAGGCCGAAGTCTAAGCCACAAATAGGCAGCGGGTTGCGAGCGGCAAGTTTGCGACGACTTGCTGTTCTCAGTCACACCGTAATCTTGATTATAACGTTGGCAATGTGGATCGAATCGCGGGCAGTGCTAAGGTGAGTGATTGCAGGGTACCATGAACAGCATGTAGTCACGTGACTACTCTGATATGAACAATCCAATATTGCATACAAACATGACACTTATTAAGGACACGTTCCTTCTGAATCGAGGTGAATGCTCATTATATCTGTCAGTAAACATGTCGATATCCGCTTGCAACAGCAGATAAATAACGAGAACCACGTGCATCTCGCTAGTCAGGGTCTCCTTACTGCACGAGCCGCGGCTGTGTTGCCCTTAATCGTGCAATCTAGATTCTAGGCATCCCAAGTACCCACTTCAGAACAGTCTCTCGGATGTTCTAGAAGTACTTCTCATCAACTTAAAGACGAAAGGCAGAATTTCCCCACACCGATTTCGAGGCCAAAGGTTACACACGGTACATGACTTCCCACTCGTCCACTTTCCAAGATGAGACGACAGAAAAAGAACATCTCACTACATGACCCCCGCCCCCTTTATGCCTTCTCACCGAGGTACGAGCTTCAATTTGACTTAGCCTCAATGCTTTTTGGGAAGGATGAATGTCTCGGTTCCCTTAAGCTCACTCAATAATCATGCACGTCATTCATTTCAAGCCCAAACTAAAGGGTCCCAGGACCAGTCACTCGGGAATAGCTAGCTCTGTTCACCAGGTGGCTCGTGTCTTGTCACACCGCTGAGGAAGCATTGGAGGAAGTCACTAAGTATCTCAGCTCTTGCTGGTAGCGTCCCGTGCTTCACTGTTTGCGGTTCCTCTCAGACTAAGAGTCTTAGAATATTTCTTTCTTCCGCATAGTTCAGAGCAGAACAAGCCATTTTTCGGGCCTGTAGTCCGTCAAAATATTGAAAAGCGAAGCTTCACCATATTTCGATGTTTTAGCACTTTCCTAAATCAGTCACCGAACAGAGTATAATGCACCACCAGCACCTCTTCATTTCCGTTGCATCTCCAACTTCAAAGCGACTAGAACAAGGCAACGAAGACTCAAGCCTGTATCATTGGTCAAAATACGCCTCAGGGGTAAGAACTCTTTCTAATGAATCGGCAAGCGTCCGAAAAGACCTCAACAATACAACTCTGGCCCCCAACTCCTTTCTTCCCGTGAAAAATAAAAAGCTAAACGAGACGACAGCTCAGTTCTCTTCATTGAAATTTCGCCGGAACGGTACACCGAACTCGAACCTTTTAGTCAAGAGCCAATGAGCCAGGCGAGCTCGAATGGGCTTCGATTATATCGGCCGTCGATGTGCAGGTGGAGGAAGCTTCCAACAATAATTCAAACCCATGTTAAGCCTGGTGGAGAGTATGATCCTACGTCTTGAAAGCTTTTTAGGTGCCAATAGAGCAATGCCACATTGTCACACCGAACGGAAGTTTACCACGTTCACCAGTTCATGCCACTGGAGCCACGATGATGCATTGAACATCGTCAGATCGGCATGACTTGATGAAGAGGAGTGTTAATAGCTCACAGAAAAATAAGTGCGATACTACCTGCTCATCTAGCACACCGAAGACAGGGCTGACGGATTAGGATCCACACTTCGTAAGTGATATATTGAACAAACAACTTACCATCATCATGACAACCACCCCACATGGCTCATACTCAAGGAAGGCTGACCTACTGATCCTGTTGGACTTGTCAAAGATGATCATATTCTCTCCATGATCCAGCAGTCACAAGCCCAACTCTTACAATCCATCCTTTCTCATCTCAACCCAAACCTTCTCCACCCTCCGGTCCTCCCTCTCAATCTGATCCTCTTCGAACATCAGCAGTCTTGAATTCAATTGTGTATCTCAAACACCGAACTTCGGTAACCGGCGACTTTTCTTCTGCGCCCATCTGTCACGATCCACCAGTACTTTACACCTCATACTACAAACCTCACACCTCCTTCGAGCACCTACATACCTCATCACTTCACGTTACACTTTCCATCCTCGTCAAACATTCGCACAGCTCATCACTTTACACCTCACAGCTCTCAAACGCTCGCAAGCCCAACAACCTAACCGCCAACACTCGAACCTACCCTCCCTTCTTGGTATACTAAAGCTCTATCCCTAGAACCCATGCCTTCAGGGAGTAATGCAACCCCCAACCCAGCGTATGACACCCTACCTCACTTCACCACAAGCCGTACACCATAAGCCATATACCACAGCCCATGATATTACATATATCCCAAACCCAGACTCAAGCCCATACCCAAGCCCAAACCCGAACTCTACCTCTAACCCAAGCTCTAACCCTAACTCAAGCCCAAACTCTAACCCTAACTCTAACCCCAAACCAAAAAACCGCCAGCTCAAGCTACACTTCCCCATCTCATCTCCTCCCCTCTCAAAAACACTATCCTCCCCCCTCTTCCCCGCCTCT